TTGGATGGTTGAAGTGGAGGAATGCATCGGGCTTATTGTGCGATAGAAAAGTCCCCCTCAAACTTAAGGGAAAATTCTATAAGATGGTGGTGAGACCTGCAATGCTTTATGGTGCCGAATGTTGGCCATTAAAAGAGAAGCATAATATTAAGTTAAGTGTTGCAGAGATAAGGATGCTTAGGTGGATGAGTGGCTTGGCCCTTAGAGATAGGATACAAAATGAGCATATACGTGAAAAGGTTGGAGTAGCTCCAGTGAAAGATAAAATTAGAGAGATTCGCCTTAGATGATTTGGTCACATTAAACAGAGGTCTTCGGATGATCCGGTTATAAAAATGTAGAGGTAGACCTAAAAAGACTTGGTTAGAAAATATTATAAATTATATTTCTTTATTAGATTTAAATGAGAATTTAACTTTTAACAAGACACAATGACGAAAAAGGATTCATGTAGTCGACCCCACATAATAGGACAAAGGCTTGATGTTGTTGTTGTTGTTGAATTCTTTTTAGGTCCACCTCTACCTTTCTTAACATAAGACAAATCTAATAATAAAGAGCCACATAATCTATAATTGTTTATAAAAATATGGTGACCATCTATAACAAAAATTTATATTTAGAGCCTCATATGCTAGTTTGACTACAACAAGGGAACTAGTAATTTATTATTTGTTTTTCTGACAAATTTGTTGTTGTGGGAACTGATCCTTCTTTAGTTTTTTACTTTCGTCTCCTTTTTCAAATTTGACCTTTTGTTGTTCATGTGTTAGCGTTGATGTATCCAACTTTTAGGATAGATGTTGGTCAAGGTGTTATTTTTTTTTTCCTAAGGACAATGCTTCACGCTGATTCTTCTCGTGACCTTTTAAATTATGTCATTTTTGTATGCTCATGTTTATCATATATAAATAGATTGCGAGAGAAAAGTTAGTGAGTTGTTTTGTAAAATCGTTTCTTTAACATATGTTTATGAAGACGAGGGAAAAAATTGTTATCATTAAAATGATCAACATGGAGCTTTATAGAATTACTTTATAAAATAAATGTACAGTTGTCAAACCTGATTTAAACTTGATATGAAGTTGTGGGCATTTGCCAACTCAGCAGCAACTATAATCTCATCCTCGCTGGCCTTATCTTCTTTCCCATACGCAATGTTGAAGCGGATAGTGTTATTAAACAACATAGGTTCTTGACTCACCAATCCCATCTGTTTCCTCAACCAACTTAATTGGAACTTTTGCAGCTCTATTCCATCTAAGAGAATATGTCCTGAATCAGGATCATAAAACCTTTGTAGTAGTGCTATTGCTGTCGATTTTCCACTTCCACTCTCCCCTACAAATGCAATAGTCTAAAAAGTAAAATGTGGTTAGGGACACTTAGGGTTATTATCCTTTGTCATCATAATTGAAAAATGTTTTAGCTGGTGTATCATATTACCTTTCCAGATTGAATGGCAAAGCATATATCTCGAAAAATTTGGACATTTGGCCTTGAGGGATACTTGAAACTAACATGGCGGAACTCGATATTTCCCTCGATCATATTTAAAATCATGCCAGATTCATCACTTGGATCTATTCGAGATTGACGATCAAGAATTGCAAAAATAGAACCCATGACAAGTTTAGCTTTGTTGGAATCAGGCCTATTAGAGCTTGACTGAGCAATTTCAAGAGTTGCCACAGCTATGGCTAAAAAAGCCTGGAATGAATATCAAAATAGAAATTAATGTTGATACATAACTTGCTTGTTATTGGTATAATAATCATAAACTAATATCTTCTTATTCTTTAGATCAAATGCAAATGAAAACATTAGCAAGAATATTTGTTTTAATTTCTTAAGCTGCCTTTTTGGAGGCAAACCCGAGAATATGCTACAAACAATTTCTTTTAACTCATGTGTAACAGTAGTATTAATGTGACCATTAAAGTCATTTAAGAGTTTAGCTGTCAAGAAGCATGCATACAAATACAAGTTGCAAGGGAATAGTTGAGCAACCTAACATGAAAAAGATGATCGATGTTGTAACTTGTAACATACATCAATGTTAATATGAATTCCCAAAGACCTTATTCATGAGTGACTGAATTGGATTTCAAAATCATATCCCAATAACTTGGAAAGCCACCTCTGATGCTCCTCTGTCACCATCCGTTGTTCTAATAAGTACTTCAAGCTCCGTTGGTTCGTTATGACAATGAAATGCCTACCTAATAGGTTGGGCCACCACTTCTGGATGGCTAATACAATGGCCATCAACTTCCGCTCATAAACTAATTTCAGCTTGGCCCTAGCTGTCAACACCTGGCTGAAATAGGCAATGAGTCGATGATTTTGCATGAGCATTGCCCCCAATCCACATCCTGTGGCATATCTCTCTATTATGAACATCTAAGTGAAGTCCGATAGTGCTAATACTAGTACAATCATCATATCCTTCTTCAAGCTCTCGAAAGCTACTGTGGCTGCCTCCCCCCATAGGAAACCCTTCTTTAACTATTCTGTTAGTGGCCAGGCTATGGTGATGTACCCTTTAACGAACCTCCTCTAGTATTTTGTCAATCCTAAGAATCCTCTCAGCTCCTTCATATTCTTATGTACTGGCCATCTCAACATTGCCTCAATTTTTGACCAGTCTATTGCTACCCCCTCCTTGGACACAATATGGCCCAAATACTCCACACTAGCTTGGGCAAAACAACATTTCTTTAGGTTGACCCTCAGCTGATGCTCCTGTAACACCTCTAACACCCGCCTCCAGTGCTCCTAGTGCTTCTCCTCTAGCCTGTCGTAAACTAGGATATTGTCAAAAAACACTAAGACAAATCGCCTGATATAAGGTATGAAGACCTTGTTCATGAATGACTGAAACGTGGCTGACGCATTAGTAAGGCCAAAAGACATCACTAGGAACTCATAATGCCTCTCATGAGTTCTAAAAGCAATCTTTGACACATCTTCCTTCTTCATTCTGATATGATGATATCCTGACTTTAAATTTATCTTAGTGAAGATTACTGCCCCACTTAGCTCATCCAACAACTCATCAATCATTGGTATAGGGAACTTGTCTGACATAATCTCTTTATTTACCGCTCTGTAGTCCACACAAAACCTCCAGATGCCATCTTTTTTCTTAACCAGTAATACTGGAACACCTCCAGCTGCCATTTTTTTTCTTAACCAATAATACTGGAATAGAAAAAAGATTAACATTGGGCTTGGTAATTCCTGCCTCCAGCATTTCTCTAATCAACTTCTCAATCTCATTCTTCTGAAATGAGGATAGCGGTATGGCCTGATGCTGATGGTTGATACACCTTCCCTCAAGATGATAGCATGCTCTTGCTCCCTTGGTGGAGGCAATCCCTGAGTTGATTGGAAAACCTCATGGAATTGGTAAATTAATGACTGTACTGAGAGAGGTATATCTCCCCCCTCCTCCAATCTAACTCCCTCCTGTCTGTGCAGCTCCACCAGAAAACCTTCCCCCACCTCCTGTATACTTCTCACCATGGCTTTGGATAGCCCTGCATCTCTCCTTATCACTACATTTCTTTCATCCACCATCAACTCCATCATGAGTACTCAATCGACCTTAGTGTCCCCCAAGATCTGTAACCACTTCATCCCCAATTTCAGTCTTCTTCTTTCGAGAGATTTATGGGATTTGTCCGAAGAAGCAGGCAAAAGGGCGAAAGTTACCTTCATAGTGAACTAACTCCCATCCTTGCTTCTAAACAAAATGTCTAAACTTCCGACCCGACATGAACGTCGTCGACGGAGGTGAGGATGCTGGCTAGGGTGGCCGGCTTGGAGGTCGGAGGGCTTCGTCGAAGAGATGGGGTTCGACCGGCTTCGGCATGGGTGGAGGAAGGTCAGGGCTGGACGGAGCTTCTTTTGATTTGGTTGAGGGAGGAAGGCCATAGTTTTCGGCTTAGTGGAGATCAGGTGCAGTTCAGGCTTCGTCTAGGGCTTGGGTAGGGTGCGGTCGGTGCAGTGGTTTGCGACTGTAGGAGGAAGAGGAAGCCGGTGCAGTTGATGTCGAAGAGGAATGGAGGGAAGAAGCGAGGTCGATCGGATTCAACAGGTATGCATGCGGCTTAGTCGACATGAGGTTGGTTGCTTGCGAGAGTTTTGAGGGTAAGAGGAAGAGAAGTCGAAAGCATCGTTAGCTCGACTTTTAAAGACGCGAATAGAAAGAAAATCTAGACGAATCTGCGCATGCGAGGAATGGGCTGGATGCGATAGTTCAGCGTCGTTGCAGACTGTAGCAGACGAGTCTATACGCGGGATCTTCGTAGAGATTTTGGCATGTATGGCTACAAGTAATCATTTTTAGCCATTTTTTTATCTTCTTCGTTTTGTTTTCTTTTTGGCTGCATGAGTAAGGGTCAACACCAGAGAAGGAATTTAGTTCTGCTGTAAAATAAGAAGGATTCCTGCAGAGTATTCAACATAGTGCTGAGAAAAACTGCAGCCTATTTCGGCACAGTGCTGTAGGGGATTTGCCGCATTTTTGAAATATCTGTGGAGTGTAGTTTAAGATTTTCAAAATGAAGAATAGAATATTGAAAGGAAGGAGGTAAGAAATTATAGAGTTTATTGTTAACTTTTAATTTTTCTAAAGCCATTAAGTTCTATAGATGATAATCCTAATTTTATTTTAGGAGAATTCATCAAATATATGCAGAAGGAAGGATTTGAGGTAATTGATGTAAGTATTGGATATTGCTATACACTTCATTAAATATCAAATTGTGATATTGATAAGATAAGAAAAGTGATTGTAGGTGACGTATAAGAGTAGAGGGAAGAAGCAGAGAATTGGAGGAGATACCTCGTCAAAAAGGTAAGTAATACAAATTAAAGTTTTAAAGATAATTTTTATAAATTTGATACTTATATACTAGTAATTGAATGAATTAAAAGAAAATAAGCATTACTTGTTAATTCCCTTGCTAGAGGATATTTATAGTAAGTTTCTAAGTATGAATAACCATTTACATAAATTTTTTATATTAGTTTAAATCAAAGTTTAACACTGCCGTTGCCAGGTCCCAAGTCCTGGATGAGAAAAGTGGAGGGTTGCGTTAGGTAGTCGACAGCCAGCGTAAAACTTGTCGAACAATAATGACATGAATCATTTAAGAAATTGTGTTCATGTTAGGGCGTCTTCTGGAAGCGACGCGCTGTATGGCCTGAATACAGTGACAATTGTGCAAGGGCTGCTGCACCGGCGCCCGGGTGCAGTGTTAAATAGGCAAGGGTTCCCACATCAAGGACGGATGTGGGCAAACAAGCTAGTCCATGAAACCAAAATTAGGATAGGAACTTGAATATAGGTTCCCTTACAGAAAAATTAATATAATTAATAGATATTATGATTCATAGGAAGTTAAATATTTTGTGCATTCAGGAAACTAAATGGGTTGGAGATAAGGCTAAGGAAATTGATATTTTAGGATTTAAACTTTGGTATTCGGGTAGGAGTCGTACTAGAAATGGTGTAGGTGTTATTATAGATAAGAGTTTAAAGGATAATGTTATAAAAATTAATAGAATTGGAGATAGAATTATAGCTTTAAAGATTGTTGTTGATGATAAGATTATTAATATTATAAGTGCTTATGCTCCTCAAGTAGGTTTGGATATGAGTTCTAAATTAAATTTTTGGAATGACTTAGAAGAATTAATACAAAAGATACCGAAGAAAGAGTTTTTATTGGAGGAGATTTAAATGGACATGTTGGTAGAGAGGTAGATGATTTTAAAAGCATTCATGGTGGCCATGGATTTGGAACGACGAATGAAGGTGGCAAGACCATATTGGATTTTTGTTTAGCTTATGATTTTTTAATTGCTAATACCTTATTTAAGAAAAGGAATGAGCATCTCATCACTTATAAAAATGGATATAGTACAACCCAGATTGACTATTTTCTTATTAGAAAATTAAATCGTTTAGATTGCAAAGATTGTAAAGTTATTCCGAGTGAAAATTTATGTACCCAACATCGATTATTAGTTTTGGACTTTAAGATAAAAGGGCATAAAATAAAAAATAAAGTAAAACAATTTTCTAGGATTAGATGGGGGCATTTAAAGAATATTAACAAAAATATTTTTGGAAATAAGATTTTAGATCTTAAGATTTTGTCTGTGCATGAGGATGCTAATATTATGTGGGAAAAAGTGGCTACTGATATTAAGAATATTGCAAAAGATGTCCTTGGAGTATCAAAGGGAAAAGCTCCCAATAGTAAAAATAGTTGGTGGTGGAATCCTAATGTGCAAGAAAAAATTAAAAATAAGAAGCTTTGTTATAAAAATTGGTTTAATTTTAAAAATTATGATAATTAAGAAATATATAAAATGGCTCGTAAGGATGCTAAGAAAG